AAGAGTTTCTTTCACTGTGTTGCTAAATAAAAATTAGTTGTGTGGGGGGGAATCCAAATTGATTTACAGCTAGCTAAAATTGTTTAAAATTCTTTGTTGGAATTTTTTTAAATGGTGTAAGGTGCATGTGCTGTAAAATCTATTTACCCATCTGAAAGTGTACAGTTGTCCAGTTGTTACCACTCTGTAGATCCAGAGTTACCATCCCAGACAGAAACCCCAGCACATCCAGCCGCCTGTGCGTGTTCCTCCCAGAGCCAGGAACCACTGAGCTGCCTTCCGACTCTGGGGTCCACCTGCGAGATAGAAGTAGGATCCTGTAATGTATGCAGCCTTTGTGCCTGACTTCCTCCACTCAGCATAATGCTTTCAAGAATCCATGCAAGGCCGGCGCCACGGCTCACTAGGCTAATCCTCTGCCTGCGGCACCGGCACACCGGGTTCTAGTCCTGGTCGGGGCGCCGGATTCTGTCCCGGTTGCCCCTCTTCCAGTCCAGCTCTCTGCTGTGGCCCAGGAGTGCAGTGGAGGATGGCCCAAGTGCTTGGGCCCTGCACCCGCATGGGAGACCAAGAGAAGCACCTGGCTCCTGGCTTCAGATCGGCGCAGTGCACCGGTTGTGGCAGCCATTGAGGGGGTGAACCAATGGAAGGAAGACCTTTCTCTCTGTCTCTCTCACTGTCTGTAACTCTACCTGTCAAATGAATACAGAAAGAAAGAAAGAAAGAAAGAGAGAGAGAGAGAGAGAGAGAGAAAGAAAGAGAGAAAGAGAGAAAGAGAGAAAGAGAGAAAGAATGAATCCATGCACGCTGTAGCCAGTCCGTCCCTTTGCGTCTTCATGGTTTACTGCTATTTAAATACATTAGTACGCCACCTTTTGGTTATCCATCCGTCTGCTGGGCACTGATGTTGTTCCGCCTTTTCCTGTTGCGAGTAGAGCTACTGTGAACAAGTCTTCCTTGAATTCCTGGTTCCAGCTCTGGGGCTTATGCCTGGGGGTGCTCTCCCGGGACATCAGAGAAACCACCAGCCTGCTCTCACGGTGGCCACACCACTTCACCAGCGCTGGAAGAGGGTCCCAATTCTGCTACATCCTCTGCAACACTGGATATTTTCTGTTTTCTTTTTGTAATTATTATTATTACTACCGGTGCCTTCCTGGGGAGTGTGATGTGATATCCTGTTGTGGTTGCATGCGCTTGTTGGTTTGTATATCTTCTCTGCCGAAATCTACGGTCAGATCGTTGTCAGTTTCTAATGAGGCTGTTTGGGCCTTTGTTGCTGAGTTTTAAGAATTCTTTATAAATTCTGTGTATTAACCCTCATCAGATATAGATGCTCCTCAGTATCATGAGAGAATAGCGAATGTAGCAAGAAAAAATAAAAATTCAAAATTTGAGGTATAGTTTCTCCTGAATATGTGTGGCTTGTTGCAGGTACCATAAAAAAAAAAAAAAATGGAAGAATCCTAGTGCAAACTGCTAAGTTGAGGACCACCTGTATTCCATGTGAAAATATTTCTCCTGTTCTTAGTTCTCTTTGAACTGCTTTGATAATGTCCTTTGATACATAAAACTTTCTAATCTTTATTAAGTCCATTTCATCTATTTTTTGCTTTTGTTGCTTGCGCTTTTGGGAAACCATTGCCAAATCCCTAGGCTTTTTCATAAAAGTTTTACCATTTTAATTCTTATATTTAGGCCTTTGATTTTGAGTTAATTTTTATGTAGGCTATGATGTCCCCCTGTGACTGTCCTGGCACAATTTGTTGAAATTACACTGGGTTCTGGTCCCGGTCGGGGCGCCAGATTCTGTCCCGTTGCCCCTCTTCCAGGCCAGCTCTCTGCTGTGGCCAGGGAGTGCAGTGGAGGATGGCCCAGGTGCTTGGGCCCTGCACCCCATGGGAGACCAGGAAAAGCACCTGGCTCCTGCCATCGGATCAGCGCGGTGCGCCGGCTGCAGCGCACTGGCCGCGGCGGCTATTGGAGGGTGAACCAACGGCAAAGGAAGACCTTTCTCTCTGTCTCTCTCTCTCACTGTCCACTCTGCCTGTCAAAAAATAAAAATAAAAATAAATAAAAAAAAATTTAAAATTAAAAAATGAAATTACTGTTCTGTCCCTGTCGAGTTCTTGCCACACTTGTCAGAGATCAGTCGGCCATGGATGTGCGGGTCACTTCTGGACCCTCATTTATGCTCTGTGGGTCTCTCTGCCGTACATTACAGTAGTCTGTAGTAGGTTTTGAAATGAAGAGAATGACTCCTTCAACTCTCCTCTGTTGGAGACTGGCTAATTGAGATCCTTTGTAATTTCATGACATTTGGGATTAGCTTCCCGGGACTCCCATTATCCATACACTGGTGTGTTTGTGGTATGCCACAAGTTGCTTTATTCTTGTTCTTTCTGCTTCTCAGATCGAATCATTTCACTTGACCCGTCCACAGGTCACTGGTTCCTTTGCCTGCTCAAGTCCACTGTGATCTTCTCTAGTGTGTTTTCCACTTCAGTTGTTACACATCGCAATGCTGAACTTTCTGCTTGGTTACTTCCTCTGATCTCTGCACCTTTGTTGATAGTCTTTGTTGAGACATCGGTCTCGTGATTCGTTTTACTTATTTTTTCCATGGTTTCCTTTGAATATACTTAGGACAATTAACTTATTCTTTTCCTAATCAACCCACTTCCTGTAATTCCTCTATACTTTCCTGTTTCTTTTCATGATTCATACTTTTTGATGAAACTGTGCATTTTTGATATTATGTTGTCATAACTCTGGAAATCAAATTCTCTTCCTCTCAAAGATTTGTTATTGTCCCTTGCTGTGGGTTACAGTTGTTTATTTAATGACTTTTCTAAACTATCTTTGAAGATTTTATGTACTGGGCCCCGCGCCATGGCTCACTTGGTTAATCCTCTGCCTGCGGTGCCAGCATCCCATATGGGCACCAGGTTCTAGTCCCGGCTGCTCCTCTTCCAGTCCAGCTCTCTGCTGTGGCCCTGGAAGGCAGTGGAGGATGGCCCAAGTGCTTGGACCCTGCACCTGCATGGGAGACCAGGAGGAGGCACCTGGCTCCTGGCTTCGGATCGGCGCAGCACGCCAGTTGTAGCAACCATTTGGGAGGTGAACCAACGGAAGGAAGACCTTTCTCTCTCTCTCTCTCTCTCTCTCTCTCTCTCTCTCTCTCTCACTGTCTAACTCTACCTGTCAAATAAAATAAATAAAAAATCTTTAAAATAATTTTATGTATTTATTTGAGAGGCAGAGTTACAGAGAGAGAGAGAGAGAGAACTTCCATCCACTGGCTCATTCCCCAAATGGCTGCTATGGCCAGAGCTGGGCCAATCCGAAGCCAGGATATAAGAGTATAAGTATAAAGTATAAGCCACTATATATACCATTGATTCTCTCCCAGAGTTGCAATAACATTGATTGGAGCAGTTTTTGTCAAGTGTTTTGGGTGTGTGTTAGAAGGTTCTGGGGGCACCTGCTCCATTGTGTTCACTGACCACCTTTGATGGAGTTTTAATTGATTTCAGATGATTAATTTTGTCAGTTTTTAAATTTGTTCACAGTAGATGGGAAGCTCCTTATCAAATCCAACATCTATTCGCTAAATCATCCCTTCGGCCCATCCACTTTGTCGCAGACGTCTTCCGCACACAATGAAGAGCTTTTCCATTTGTCTCTGCCATGGCGGATTGCAGCCACCGTCACCATGAGGCCTCTTGAAAAGCCTCTTCCCGCCTCTCGGGGTCTGTGTGTCTCTGGTCGTGGTGCTATTTGCTCACCTTCATTTGATTCTATATAATAATATTTCTTCATTTGAAATTCTAAAATTTGCTTTTGCTTTAAACCAGAAAAATAATTATAATCAAACCAGGAGAATAGTTACAATTAACATAAGTGTGTCCACTTAATAGCTGACTGCGACTTACACAGTTGTTACTAAAACTTCATGCTGTCTCTAGAAAATACTCATATATTACAATGTTCCATTCATGAATCAGAAAAAAAAAATCATTAACCTGATGTCAACTAGGCCAGTGAGTGAAATATTAGAAGACACAGAATGCTACATTTGAAGTAAAATGTAGCATCACCAAGACAAGGAAGTTATGTATAATGGCAAAATAGTTCACCCTACTTCCACTTTGTAAACTTAAATTGAAATGTGAGTGCAGTCCCAAGACTAGCCACATTTCACTCTCATTCGTGATGTGCAGACATGGACAGCACAGGTCAAGGGTCAAGAGTGGGTCAGAGGGCAGGCTTCAGCCCACGTGACAAAAAGAGGGGGCACAGCTGTGGTGGGAGGGAACCCACCTGGTGTTTGGTTGTGCCGAGCATTCTTGGTGGCTGTGCTGTGTGCGTGAGACAGGGAGACCCAGTGTAGCAGGGGTGGGATTCCCGGGGGAGGGAAGGCGTGGGGCTCACCTTGCGTGGCGGGAGTGTGACCAGGAGAACATCAGTTTTCATGGAAGGCAGCCCCTCCACCTGACGGAGGAAGTCACATGACAGCTGCAGGCAAGGCCTTCGAGCCCAGGCATCGGTTCACCGATGTGACGGTGGCTGGTGCTGCCCTCTGTCTTGGGTGGAAGAATCCGAGCACGAGGTAGACAGAGACGAGGCAGGAGAGGAGGGAGGTTGCTGATGACCGCAGAGCCACGTCGGGGACGCTAGGGGCAAAGGAGCAGCCCCCCGCTGGCAGCTCGGGAGCGGCCAAGGCTGCACACCTGCCAGGCAGGCTCACGCACAGCTTGGCTTTAAACTTGTGTCCTGAAATTGCTCCTAGGATCCCAGCGTAGGAAACAGCCCGAAACAAGGGGGAAGGCTTATGCTGAACAATCTTTATCATAAAGCAGAACCGGAAAGAACAGATACACGACGACAGAGGGGTAGCTAGATAATTGAATAACTTCCCTAAAAAAGAGGAAAACCTTAAGATGAAGGTTGTCAGCAGTCAACAGTGTGGTGGACTGTGTCTCTCCCTGCCCCCACAGGAAGCTGCACTGCACCAGGAACTACATCCACCTGAACCTGTTCCTCTCCTTCATGCTGAGAGCTGTGTCGGTGCTGGTCAAAGACGACATCCTGTACTCCAGCTCCGGCACGCTGCACTGCCCCGACCAGCCGTCCTCCTGGGTAAGGCGGTCCTCCCAGGCTGGGGCCTCCCATGATGATGTGCAGAAAGAGTGGGCCCAGGTGGGCAGGATCTCGCAGAGGCAGAGAGGGTGGGCGGGGTCCGAGCCCTGAGCCCTGAGCCCAGCACCCAGTAGCAGCAGCTCCCAGTTGAAAACTTCCGACGTGGATGAGCCTGCAACAGCGCTGCTGTTTTCTGGCTACATCCCCCAGATTCTGAGCACATGCACGTGTCCCTCCAGGTTGCTAAGGGAAGTCAGTCTGGGTCGTGTGTAAACTCCACGCAGCACCCAGCTGGGGGCCCAGTCACAAGTGTGTGAATGCGCTTGGTCCAACTCTGGGATGCAAAGGGACTTCATCCTTAAGTATTAGTTTAATGTCGTAGAGGCTGTCTCACACTTCCCAAGCCATTGTCCTGAGTTTTTTCTCTACGAGTGGTTAGCACTCCGGCACGTGGGCTTCTGGAAGTCCAGTCCTGATCCGAGATCCCAGCTACCGAGAGAGTCAGGAAGTGGACTCGACTCTCACATTCCAAGCAGATGGATTCATCCCTTGCACAGCTGCTTGGACTGAACAGAGTTCAGCTAACTAACTGAGACGCAAGATAGGGACCTTCCGGTTGTATTTTTCAGACATTTTTGCACCCAGCTGGGTTTCACCAAACCAACATTGCTCTCCCAAGCAGAACTCCTGGGCTGGCTTCTCCCCCTCAGTGGGTGTCTCGAGACACGGGGAGAAGCCAAGACTATGAAAAAGGTCCCCCTGGGCCCCGGGGCTGGTGCAGTCTCTCCTTGTGTCTGGCCTGCAGGGAACTCTGGTTTCCTTGGGTTCCTGGGTGCCCAGTGTGGAGTGGAGCAAACACAAAGATTATTGTCCCTGTTGGCCAGAGAAGATTCCACGCGGGCTTTTCAGGGACACTCAGATGGCCATCCTCGGCCTCTCTCTGTCTGATCCTGCCCACTGGTGGTGGAGTGGATGGGCATGGCAGCCCTGGGCCTTGCTGTGAGTCCTAGGGCTGCACCTAGCCAGGCAGAACCCCGACCTGGCACAGCTCGTTGGAAAGAACATCAGAGCGAAAGATTCCAGCTGCAGGCTGGGCTGGGCGCCCTCCCAGTCGGCATCCTAGCGACCACACCACAGAGGGCCCAGAGTGGCAGAGGGAGCAGGGGCAGGGACGTGCACAGAACACAGCGAGGGATCGCCTGCTCACAAGCTCACATGTGCATGCAAAACACACAGGCACGTGGGCACACATATCCATGCACCCACCGGCGCAATACATATACGTGTGAACATAGATGTGTTCACTCGCAAACACATGCCCACCAGAGGGAACACTTGCAGAAAAACACATGTGTGCGTACATATCCACAAACAACACTCACTCACAGGCCCCCACGTAAGGCCACAGCTCTGATTAGGGATCTGCTGCTGATAGCGCCTGGTCCTGGTGAGTCTCCTGACCTGCTGTCCTAACACCAGCCTGTCTGGGCAGCAGGCCCTGGAGGACCCCATGGTGCCCCTGGCCCGCCCCCTCCCCCCACGACACTGTTGACCCTGTGGAACGTGGCTGCTGCAGAAGATGAAGTTGCTATAGAGCTAATTGTTCCCCCCAAACCTCCTGTCCTGGGTTTGCTTATCAGTGAATAAAAGAAGAGACAGTATTGTGTCCCCTTTTAGCAAGGGGTTTTAGCAAGAAAATGGCATTGTATTAAGTATGCTTTTCCTGCATCTTTCTCCCCCACTCAACGGGTCATCCTAGAAACACTGCAAGTCTGCTGGTTTGTCCATCCCAGCAGTGGCACAGTGCCCATCTGGTGGGTGAAGTACAAGGCGTTTAACCACATCGTCCAGGCGTGAGCAGACTCTCAGTCTTAGACACTTTACTTCCTCTACAGACAGCGCTGGATGTGTGTCTTTACATACTGGGGTTCTTTTAAAAAAAGATTTATTTATTTGAAAATCAGAGTTACAGAGAGACAGACAGATCTTCCATCTGCTGGTTCACTTCCCAGATGGCCAACAATGGCTGGGGTTGCACCCGACCAAAGCCAGGAGCTTCTTCCGGGTCTCCCACGTGGGTACAGATGCCCAAGGACTTGGGCCAACTTTTACTGCTTTCCCAGGCCATTGCAGAGAGCTGGATCGGAAGTGGAGCAGCCGGGACTAGAACCAGGGCCCATATGGGATGCCAGCACTGCAGGTTGGGGCTTTAACCCACTGTGCCACAGCGCCAGCCCCCTTTCTGCCATTTAAAAAGATAACTATACTCCTAGGGCCAGCTCTGTGGCGTAGCAGGTAAAGGTGCTGCCTGTAGTGCTGGCATCTCATATGGGCGCCAGTTCGAGTCCCGGCTGCTCCATTTCTGATCCAGCTCTCTGCCATGACCTAGGAAAGCAGTGGAGGATGGCCCAAGGACTTGGGCCCCTGCACCTGCGTGGGAGACCCAGAAGAAGCTCCTGGCCCCTGGCCTCAGATCAGCACAACTTGGCCATTGTAACCAACTGGGGAAAGAACCAGCAGATGGAAGACACCTCTCTCTCTCTCTCTCTCTCTCTCTGCCTCTGCCTCTGCCTCTGCCTCTCCTTCTCTCTCTGTGTGTAACTCTGACTTTCAAATAAATAAATCTTTTAAAAAAAATAACTGTACTTCTTTGTCTTACTCCCATGTGTGACCCTATACGTTATAGAAATGAATTCTATTTTCTCCTGTAGATACAATTCCATTTGCGTCATTTTTGGGGTATTTTGCCACATAACAAGTTTCCAATGTTTCTATCATCGAAAGTGCCTTCTACGCTTCTCCCATCACAGTCCCTGTCTTGGTTAGGAGTTTTATTTGTGAGCTTGTCCCTGTGTGTCTTCAGTAGTCTGTAGTTTACTCTCGTATGTTTGAGGATGGAAGCGTCCAGGTAAGAAACCTGCAGGGTGGGAGCCAGTCCCAGGATGCCACCTCCCGCAGCGTTCAACACCCGGTTCCTCCCACGGTGCCGCTCAGAAGTCACACGTCTGACGTTAGTTTTCCTGTTTGCATAGCTGCCCGGTTGTGTGCGTCTTCCCACTGAAGAGGCTCTGATCTCTTAAGACAGGCAGGCAAACTAGAACAAGCTGGAGGGAGCGGGGCGTGCTACGGAGGCCAGCAGAGGATTCAGCGTGCTGTTAGGAGCACGCTCCTTACAGCCCTAGAGGCCAACTCCCAGGGCTGTGCCATGAGATTCCCACACGTGTTTGCATCCCATACCCGTGAGTCGAAGAATATCCACTCAGATGCTTCCCAGGGGTTCATGGAAAGTAAAATTAAACGTTGTTTCTTTTGTTGCAAGCAAATTTGAAATCTGCATATTAAGTATATTCAGCTTTATTATGCGTGCGACCCGTATGTGTATATAAAAAGCATGGCCACCTCTATCTATACAAGTGTGTCAATCTCATATAAACAAAGAGAGCATTTCCAGGTACTCATATGTTCACATCTGTATTGATGTGCTGATATGTAACCGCATACAATATAGAAACAAAAAGAGTGGAAATCAAAGAATTCCCCCTTTTCAGGGCACATTGTATACACCTAACGATTAAATGCAGCCCTTTTGTGTTTGCTCATGAGGTCGAAATGCCGGGTATGTTTAATTGTGTGAGTTTGAGACATTAAAATAATGTGTTTGTGAATAATCTGTCATTTTGCCCAGGGAAGATCCTTTGGAAACTCCCACCAGAGAAAATAGTTGATTTGCCAGGCTTCTCTTGTTTTCATTTTAATTGAAGCCACTCTCCTCCAACTGGGGGACTCACAAGGTTGTCACCAAGTGTGAAGGGAAGTCCCACAGGACTCTAGGTCTGGTCCGTTAATCTCTCCCCCCGCCCCGACTTTTCTCCCCTGCGGCTGCCACTGTGCCTCCCTCCTTTTCCTGCTCTCAACCTCTGTTCAGATGCAGAGACCAAGGCCCCGGAGCTGCAGGTGCAGCAGGCAGAGCCCCAGCCGCCCTGAGCCAGGCGTCCTGGTACAGACGTCCCCAGCACTGCGTCCTGGGCTGCGTCCTGGGCTGGAGAGGGCCTTGAGTGGATAGCAGAGGAGGAACAGAGAAGGGAGGGTTGGAGGAGCCGGTGATAAAGGGCAAAAGGTGGAGCCTTGGGAGGGATGAAGGGAGCAGGGCCCCAGGAGCGTGCAGAACCCCAAGCTCAGGAGCGCACCCACAGTTAGCAGCCACGCTTCACAGGGAGATGTGGGGAGCAACTCGGACTAGACTAAGTTACTGGAATTAAGACTTATTCTATGCATCTGCTCTCCCACAATATGGCGCTGAGAAGGGAGAAACAGCTTCTACACAGCTGCCTCCAGTTCAACCAATAAACAGCAGGACCTGCTCCTGATTGGAGGAGAGCAGCGTACTCGGCGTGTGGGTAGCAGAGTTGGGATTGGCGGAAGAGGACTATAAAGGAGGAGAGAGACAACATGCACCAGGAACATCTAAGGGGAACATCTATCTGAAGGAACACCTGTGCAGCCCCCGAGAGAGCCGGCCGGCGGTGTGCCACTCCCCCGCGGAAGTGGGGAATGTGGCAGGGGGAACCGCCCTTCCACGGAGGTGGAAGGGTCGGTAGCCAACCCGGGAAGAACCAGCTGCAAACCCGGGAAGGGCCGAGCAGACGAAAGAACAGCGCAGGGTCCTGTGTCGTTCCTCCACGAAGACAGGGAGCGACAGGGAGACTTGCATCCGTCCACCTCTTTGCCCCGTGTTTATCCTCTAGGGGGTTCAGGGGCTCTGTGTAAGGTCCCCTGGTGTTTTTGGATACAGTGGGCCTCACTCTCACATAACCCACGTTCCCAGTGGATGCTCTCGCTGCTGGATTTGTCATCTCTCTCGTGGGAAGGCACCCTGGTCTGTCCATTATTCCTTGTGCAAACACACAGCGCCATTGTATGCCCCGCGCAGCTGTGCAGCCATGGGCTGTTTGTATCCCATGGGACGGCCGCCCCACGCTCACCCTCTGTGTTGCAGGTTGGCTGCAAGCTGAGCCTGGTCTTCTTCCAGTACTGCATCATGGCGAACTTCTACTGGCTCCTGGTGGAGGGGCTGTACCTGCACACCCTCCTGGTGGCCATATTCTCCCCCAACAGATGCTTCCTGGCCTATCTGCTGATCGGATGGGGTGAGGACCCCTGGGCTCCCAGCCTGCAGTGCCCCTGCCGCCCACGGCCAGCACACAGACCCTCCAGGTCCCTGGCTCCTGTCCCACAGGGGCAGTGCTCGGTGGTTGCCCACATAGGGAGCCCTTCAGTGTCGTTCGAATGGACATGGTCTCCAGGCTACCTGGAGGGCTGCACAGAGAAACATGTTAGTGCTTCTCATCATTAATACCAATATATTAATATCTGTAAGTGGATGGAATATAATTATATTAATATTTATTATGTACATATATTAATATATATAATTAACTCATTAATATTTCTGGTAACTAAGAACCTCGTTTCAACTGCTTTCCTCACCCATTCCCATCCCTTTTATCCCAAATTGAATCTGAGCCACTAACAAGTAGCCGACAGTTTGTCCTGTTCCCGGCCCAGCTAATGTCAGAGGTGGGAAAAGCAGAGATAAGAAGGGGCCAGAGGGGGGCGGGGCAGGTGCTGTCCTCATATTGCACAGAGCCGGGAATGGGCGCCAGCTTGGCACAGCCCTGTCCCGGGAAGCAGCAAAGGGCAGTGAACTCCTGAGGCTGTGGCAGAATCAGCCGTCGCCTCCTCCCCTTTCACACACACCTGCAGGGTCTGCAGTAACAACCCGTCCTGTACAGATGCTCGGCTTTCAAGCACGGCTGAGTAAGACATGGGCTTGCACTCAGCTCTGGGGGTGAGAACTTGGAGCCAGAGTGGCTCAGGAAACTCACCCTGGCCGTTTCTGGTTCTCGAGGCACACACTGGGGTCTGAGCTGCTGCTCGTGGTAAGAGACGCCAGGGTGGTGTAACCAGGCGTCTCTCTGCAGGAGTCCCCACCGTCTGCATAGGCGCATGGACCGTGGCCAGGCTGTCTTTAGAAGACACAGGGTAAGTGCTGGCAGAGGACGTAGCGCACCGTGGTTATGCATCTGGCACCGGGAGAGAGGTGCACTACCTGGGTAGAGGGCCAGGAAGCTTCTGCAGCCGGCCCTGGGAGGCACAGGAGTGAGCGTGTGTGCATGGGAAGTGTACGTGAGAGTGAGGTCCATGGTGGTGGTGGGGGGGTCGTTTGGGTTGGAGGACTTGAAGGAAGGCCTATGAGAGCTGTCAGTTCTTCAGCCCAGTAACACTGGTCTAAACCAGGCAGGGACAGACAGGGGGTCAGCCTCTCAGACGGTGTGCTAATGCACAAAAAGAAATCGAGCAAAACGCAAGTGGCGTTCCCCAGAGCAAGTGTTGGCGATCGGGTGAAGTGGGCAGCGGGGCGCAGGGCCCAGAGCCCCCCGCTGTGTGTCCACAGGGAGCGGGACTTGGCTCCACACCCTAGAAGGGACCTCCTGGCTGCATCCTGTTGCCAAACAGGACCCAGGGCCTGAGGAAGTAGACCCTGCCCAGAGCAGTGGCTGCAGGAGCCAATGCTGAGGCTTCCTGCGGGGACAGTGCCTACGCTGAAAGTCACAACCGAAAACCTTGCTGGGTGGGACATTCCTGACCGTGCCAATCTCCGTTATTTCAAAGACAGTTCTGGAACCTTCCTCTCAGATATGGCTACAGTCAGTCCACTTGGAAAATGAGGGGAAACTGATTTTCTGGTGACAAAACTCTGTGATGTTATTTGGAGCAGGCATGAGCATGGGTTTTTGTCCCCTTGTGAGTTAGGACACACAGAGCGGCCAGCATATGCTGCAGTAGTTATGAGACCCTTGGGAAGCCTGCACCGCATGGCAGAGGGCCTGGGTTCAAATCCAGCTTCCTGCCCATGCACACACTGGGAGGCAGCAGGTGATGTCTCAAGTAGTTGGGTCCCTGCCGCCCAAGTGTGAAACCTGGATGGCATGCTGGGCTCCTGGCTTCAACCTAGCCCGGCCCTGGCTGTTGGCATTTGAGAAGTGAGCCAGCACATAGAAGCTCTCTCCCGATCTCTCTCACTCTCTCTTTCATGAATAAGCAACCCACAGAGTGGCTAGGCTTTCTGTGACAGACTGGCCCACGGAGGAGAGTTGAGTGTGGGACAGGTGGCATCAGGATTCCTACGTGCAGTGTGACAGTGTGTCTTAGAGCAGCTCGGGGGGTCAGACGACACGAGTGGGAGCGGTGGCTGCTGCTTGGCAGGGTTCTGTTCTGCAGGCCCTGTGTGAGCAGCAAACCCACAGGTGCACACAGGCCCCTGCGCGCTTGATTTGCGGATGAAGTCAGCGGTGACACAATTTTCCTTTTCTTCCACAGTTGCTGGGATACCAACGACCACAGTGTTCCCTGGTGGGTTATACGAATACCAATTTTAATTTCTATTATAGTAAGTAACGTCTGTATGGAAACATGAAGTAGCCTATTGAGTTGCACCCTTGGGCAGAGAGCACCCCAGAAGGGAGGAAGAGGGGGCTGGGTGGCGAATCGAGAGCAGCTGCATTTTAGGGCCAAAGGGGATTTGCATTTGTTCGTTGACTTTCTGAACTGTGCTGCCTCGTGAGGCCCGCAGTGGTGGCTTGTCCAGCTCCAGTGTGGCGGGCGGAGCAGGTGCTGGGTGCCCAGCCCTTGGGAAGGGCCGTGTGGGAGCCCTGCTCGCGGCAGGTGGCAGCGAGCCAAGCAGAGGACCGTGGGCCCGCTGCCCTGCCGTGGGAAGCCACACACTAAAATCTCACCTCCCTCGTGCAGGTCAATTTTGTCCTTTTTGTTAGTATCATAAGGATTTTGCTGCAGAAGCTGACGTCTCCTGACGTGGGCGGCAATGACCAGTCGCAGTATAAGTGAGTATGTGTTCGTCTCTTGCTGCCCCCCACTGCCCGGAGTGGACAGCAGCCCTGGGGAGGGGAGGTGTGTGGGAATCAAAAAGAAGCCGGTACTGACTGGCCAGGAAGGTCCTTGAAGGCTTGCGATCTAGAGAGATGGGCACAGGGGTCCAGGGCCCGGGTCTGAGTGGTCCCAGGCGTGGCCCTCGGCTGGTATCCAGGGCTCTCCTTTTATCCAAGGTCACGTGGCAGCATTTGCATCGTGCTGATGCGTAGGGTGCACCTGTTCTTTTATCTTAGAAGCCACAAGGACATCCTGTTTGGTGGACATGCTTGTTTAACGGCTGGCCACTTTCTTGTGGTGGGGTCGGTGTTCTCTCCTTGGCCACACCTTGTTTTGTGTGTGTGCTGTCATCTCCCTAGCAGATCCCACGGTCCCTTGGCCGTGTGTCCACCAGGCCCTGCTCTTGGGAATAAGTCAGTCGGTGTCTGTGGCCTCGGTGACGGTGTGGGAAAAGTCGTCATCCTCTCCAGTGGGTGAAGGAAGAGAGCCTGGGATAAGTAACCCCCACAACCACAGTCAGTGACGCTCTGAGGCATCTAGAAAGAAAGAGGTTCCAGAAAGTTCCATCCAGTCCACAACTCAGGTGCAGCCTAAAGCTACTTCCCCAGGGCAGTGGTGGCCCAGCCGAGGCATCTCGGGCTCACACAGACCAGGCTGGAATAGCAACCAAGCCGAGCGTCGTCACCTGGACGGGTCACCCGGGCCTGGCTCAGCGCTTCCTCCTCCCCTCCTCCAGAACACACAGCGGTGCATCCGGCAAGGGGCCCTAGTGCAGAGTTCACGTAGCAGCCAGGGGCAGGAGGGGGGTCTGTGTGCCTCAGTTTCTTCATCTGTAAGATGGGAACAACCATTGTGTCTGGCACTAAGTGTATGAGGGTTCACTGAGTGAGGGTTTGAGAGGCACTTAGCATCTGGCACCGGAAGCACTGTGGAGGCTTTTGGTGAGCAGATAAATACGGCTGTGCCGTGCGGTACGTGGAGGCCAAGGAGTGTTTCTAATTGCACAGCCGCCCAAGGAGACAGGATTCCAAGTCCACCGTGAGCGGTAAGGTGTGGGCCGGGCCAGGCCTGGGCGCTGGGCCTGCAGCTGCGGGAAAAACAAGGATAAGAGCATTCTTGGCCGCCCTTGAAATTGAATTTTGATTTTCTGCAAATCGTGTTTAGCTACTGTGCTGACCTTTGCTTTGGGCTCTGTGAGAATGTGAGTTAAGCAGATCTCCGAGATGGATGCTTTTAGTTTGGAAACAAAATTAAGTGGGGATAATGAAATCGGTTCTTTTCCAAGACGGCAGAAAGGGCAGAGGGCCCTGCGCTGTCCTTTCTGTCTGCTCTCTGTCCAGCCAAGCCTGCCTGGACCGGGGCCAAGGGCCACAGCCTCGCCCAAGCCTCTTCTCTAGAGACTGTGCAATAGCAAACTTGGGGCACGCTAGTGATGGGAACGTGAGTAGGTCCTCTGTAACATCTGCTCCCCCGGCCGGCATTGTGGCACAGTGGGTTGAGAAGCTGCCTGCGATGCTGCCATCCCATACGAGCGCCAGTTCAAGTCCTGGCTGTTCCGCTTCTGATCCAGCTCCCTGCTGATGTGCCTGGGGAAGCAGATGGTGGTAGTCCAAGTCCTTGGGCCCCTGCACCCATGTGGGAGACCTGGCAGGAGTTCCTGGCTCCTGGCTTCTGCCTGGCACAACCTTGGTCATTGCAGCCAGTTTGGGAGTGAACCGGTAGATGGAGTATATCTTTCTCTCTCTCCCTCTGCCTCTAATAAATCTTTACCCCCGCAAAAAAATTTTTTTAAAGGCACAGCTCCCAAGGAGCCCAGCTTTGTGCCCCGGCTAAGCCTGCTGAGCCGTTAGCATGCCCAGGGGTCGCTGGGAGTCCACGTGCATGCTGGTAGCAGGGCAGTGGCCATGACTTGCGTGCTTGTGGCTCGGCCACTCCTGTCTGGAAGGGGCTGCACTTCTGGGGTTTATGCACATCCCCCCACGTGGGGAAGATCCTATTTACTGTGAAGTCCACAGGAGATGGCGTGTTCTCCTGGGAGGGGTGGGTTAAGAGAAACACACACACTTCTAGAACTTACCCTCCCAGGCTGTGAGTGCTAGATTGGAGGAAGTTAGCTCAGAAAGAGCTTCAAGGAAATTGGGGGCTGTCCTGCGTGCTGGGGAGGTGACCAGTGAGAGACAGCGGGAGGCCAGGGCCTCTCTGTTCGGTTCCCTTCAGCTCCCGGTTTTCCCACAGTAGCCAGCCCGGGTGACTCAGAGGTGTTTATTGATAGTAGGATATTTATTCAGAGGCTCAGGGAGCACCTGAGTACCAGGGCTGGAGCCGCAGGTAACCCGGCTCCTGATGCCCAGCCCACCTTGGTTCCCCTGATGTAACTGGAGGAGCGAGGGCCGGACCTGAGGAAGCCCCCAGGTGGCTGCCGCGTGCCTCATAGCTGGATAGAAATGCACTCTCGGGCCAGAGCCCCCACGTCTGAACCAGCAACTCGGTGGTGGGGCTGGGAGTCTGCATTGTTTTAAATATTTATTTATTTATTTATTTGAGAGAGAGAGATCTTCCATCCACTGGTTCACTCCCCAAATGGTCACAACAGCCTGGGCTAGGTGGCCAAAGCCAGGAGCCAGGAGCTTCTTCCGGGTCTCCCACGTGGATGCAGGGGTCCGAGGACCTGGGCCATCTCCTGCTACTTTCCCAGGTACGTTAGCAGGGAGCAGGATTGGAAATGGAGCAGCGGGGACTCAACCAGCACCGTATGGGATGCCTGTGTTGCAGGCGGTGGGCTAACCCACCGTGCCACAACGCCAGCCCCAGGGAAACCTGCATTTTTAACAAGGCCTCCATGGGATTCGGATATGGTTGGCATTTGAGAAGCGCCAGTTTAGATAAACTGACATGTGTTTGCCTGGTTGGGGCATAGGGAACAGAGGCCAACACTGGGGCTGTAGGGGTGGGAGAATCGAGTGTGGTGGTTTCATTTCCAACATTGAATATAATGAGCAGAAAATCCACTTTGACGAGGGGCAGTGATAACTCTGGAGTGGAGTGGACAACACGTGGCCTCCAGCCCCATGCACCTGACCGTGCAGAACTCAGAGTGTCCCAGCCGACAAGGGAGGTTCTGGGTGGCACCTGCCAGGCCCACCCTCTCTTTCAGGATCCCCTCTGCAGTGGTGCTGATGAGAACTGCCCTGTGCTGTGAGCACACCGCTTTTAGCTGCATCGGGAATAGGTCCTGTTCTGCCCTTGGTGGGTCCTGCCAGATGCCCTCCCGGGGCCCTGCATCTCCTGCCCGTAAATCCAGAGGGAGAATGAGCTGAGCACAGGGAGAGCGGAGCCTCAGAGCCTGGCCCCCACGTCCAGCAGTTTGGCCACTTGCAAAGCAGACAGCAGCCGTCCACAGGCGTGCGCCGGCTGCCCGCTCAGCGGGGCTTCTCTTCCTCCCCGGTGCAGGAGACTCGCCAAGTCCACGCTGCTGCTCATCCCGCTGTTTGGCGTGCACTACATGGTGTTTGCCGTGTTCCCCATCGGCATCTCCTCCAAGTACCAGATCCTGTTCGAGCTGTGCATCGGGTCCTTCCAGGTGCGTCTGGCGTGCGGCGGAGCCGGCCAGTCCCCAGCGGTGTGGGTGGTGGCGGCACTGATCGGCCTTTCTCGTTGTAGGGCCTGGTCGTGGCGGTTCTCTACTGCTTCCTGAACAGCGAGGTACGCCCCCTCCTTGCCTGGGGAACCGGGCACAACTGGGTCTGTCGGAGGGCTCAGAGACGTCCCCCGCCCAGAGAAGGGGCTGGCTCCCCGGGGGCCAGCCCCACTGCCCAGGCTGTCGGCTTTTCTCAGCCTGGCACAGCGGCCTGCTGTCCTTCCCAGTGTCCATCCTCAAGCCCTAGACCCCCGCCACGCCATGCATGCCGGATGCCCAGCCCTGTGTAGATCCCTCTTTGGGGGCCACATCTGGCTCCTTGATCCCATGACATGGGAGTCCCAAGAAGTCTAGGTGGAGATGGGGGCTTGGACACTTCCCCTACTGCTCTGAACCCAGGAGGTTGGGAGATGCCTGAGTCGGGTCTTTGCCGATAAAGCATGGGGGTCTCTGTGCCCCCATGCAGTGCAGCTCACCAGCCCCCATAATCCACCCCCCTAAACCTGCTCCATGCCCGCCTCTCTCGGGCACGTGGCTGCAGCCTCTGCCCCTTCCTGACTTTGCTCCACAGCTCGCCCCACCCATCAGTGAGAAACACTTTGCCAGAGCTGACCCCACTCCATCTCCAAGCCCCTTGCCCGACCCTGGTGCTGCAAGCTGAGCAGCCCTGGCTGTGGTCTCTCACCACCCACCCAGTAGTAGGAGCACAGTCCTGGCTGCCGCCACCATCTCTCCTCCCCAGCGCCAGCCTCTGTCTCCACCCATCTGGTTGGGACACATACCCAGGCAGAAGGGGGAGAGCTGGTGGGTGATTATCTGGGCCGTGTGCTGACACCTTGACCTCCCCCAGGTGCAGAGTGAGCTCAAAAGAAAGTGGCGAGGCCTGTGCCCGACCCAGCCAAGGAGCCGGGACTACAGACTCCACGGCTCGTCCATGTCCCGGCACGGCTCGGAGAGCGCCCTGCAGTTCCACCGAGGCTCCCGCGCCCAGTCCTTCCTGCAGACGGAGACCTCAGTCATCTAGGCCCTGCTGTGTTGCGTGGAGTTTCCACCACGCGTCGTGTGCTCGCTTCCTCCTATTCCGCGGGCGCGATGGCCCCACCCATCAGGTTGTCAGCTGCTTGCCGTGTGCGGAACTGGGGTCACCTTGTCATTGACTTGGCGGGTGATTGTGAAACTCCAGCATGTAGATGAGTTTGTTCATGATGATGTTCAGCCCTGTAGACGGATCGGTTGTCAAGAGAACAGGGGCTAGGAGGGGGCCCAGAGCCATGGCCCACGGCTGCTAAAGCAACACAAGAGGGTTTGGACTTGGTGTGTTGCCTCTTGTAAAACCCACGTCCGGTCAGTGGGACTGAAGGCCTGAACTGGGGACGGGGTATTAGTGCCCAAGGTGGGCCAGGAAAAATCAGCAGGGGAGCAGCCCCGCCTCTCCCAGGGTCCTGCCCTGCCTAACAGTCCCCTCCCTACCTCTGCGCCACAGCACCCCAGCCCAGCATTCCCATGGGGCCGTTCTCCTCCCCAAGGAAAACCCCCAAGACCACTAGACGGTAACAGTGAGATCTTTGCGGGAGGGCACTGACCCTTCGGCGGGGTTCCTCAGCCAGAGGGCAGTGGTCTTACAGGGTAAAGTCCAGCACCTTCGTGGCCTTGCAGGTGGTGAGGGGGGCCCCTCACTGGCCTCCGCTGCCACCCTGTAGGAGCCACAGCTGCAGTCAGGCATCCTCATCGGGGGTGGGGTCCTGGGGGCACAGGGACACTAGCAGGTGGAAACGGGAGGCCAGTTCTCCTTTTGGTGAAAACCATATTAAGGGCGTTTCTGTTTAAATGGAGAATTACTTTATCCACACATCAAACTGCATCAAATGCTCCTCTCTGGTGGGCAAGCAGCAGCCTAGCTTAGGTTCCCTTGGATTTGCATAGGCTTGCAGAGGTGGTTCCAGGGGATATGGCTGCAGCAGCCACATGAGGGGATGTGCAGGGTGGGAGGGGGGCCTTTGGGCACCGTCCCCGTTCCCCATGTCAAGTCCTTGTCCCTGCAGACCCCAAAGACTGCACAAGCCCAGTGCAGACACCTCAGCCGCCGGCCTCTGTGTTCTGAGCACTTTTGTCCCCACTTGTCTCCCCCTGCAAATGGAAGCAGCAAAACCTTTGTTCTGTAGCACTGTAGACGCCCGCGTGCCAGAGCAGGGAGTGGCGAGGATGGAGGCCTCCTGCCCTGCCAGTATCTCCTTGGGGGGAAAGACCACATCCAGGAAAAGTATGGCAGGATAGAGGATAGACAGGTGCAACAGCAGTGGGCGTGCAGGGACCAATCATTGGCCAAGTCTGTCTAGGGCCGTGGGTGGGTTGGGCAGCATCAGTGGGTGTGGAAGACACCTGGGGCCACAGGGGCTCCACTGGAGATGGGGAATGGGGGGTGGGAGTGCTGATGGAGAGCAGATGACCCAAGCCAAGTGCCCAGGAAAGGGTTGTTGACCCTGACAGAGAGACGAAAGCAGGTGGAAGCCAGAAACCCTGGTCCAGCCCTGCCTCTTGGCCGCTCCTGTGCAGTAGGACCTGGGCAGACAGGGGCCCATCAGCGTGTCCCCCGCCTGCTCTCAGGTTTTGAGGAAATGCAGTTTTCCTCCCCTGAAAAGGCAGTGTCAACAGCCAGGTGTGGCCAGTGCGCTGAGACCCTGAGCAGACCCCAAGGACCTGGGGGCCACTGGTCATCGAGTGGTAAGCAGCCGCCAGGGTGCACAGGCAGTCGGCCGGCCAGCTGGGGGTGTGGTCATCAGGGTGGTCGCTGGGTGGTTATCTGTCATTCCTGCTGTACATAGAGAGCAGGCTCTCAGCCAGGCACGGGCTGGGGCTGCTTGGAGCCCGAGCAGTCGCTTGCCTGGGGAAGGGGAAGACTGCAGCCTGAGGCCTCGTCCTTAGCATCGAATAGCTAACAGGAATGGTGCCCCGGTGGTCCCGGGGGTTTAGATGTCCTAAGTGTGTGTGGAATGTCTGCAGACTCCACTGGGTCGTGGGAGTGAACCTTGTACATACTCAATAAACCTGACTTCCTGTCTGTACACTGACTAAGAGTTCAGTCTGGCCCCGATTCAAGACCCTGGGACCTAGGGTGTACTCACCCCTGCAGCTGCATGCTGCTACATTCGAGAAGTCTTCCCACCTGGAGGGGGCGGTGTGCAACACAGCACCCGTGAGGACAGTGGACGCAGCCGCCCCTCTCTTGGGACAGTGACCGGCACCTGCCAACACAAGAAGAGGATGGTGAGGTATGAGTGGCAGCCCTGGGGCTGTGGGCCCTGCCCAAGAACCATAGCGTGACTGACTTCATGTGTGTGTGGATGCATGTACATGGATGTGTGCATGTCTGTGAGAGGAGTACAAGCATGCGTGATCGCAGGTGTGGCCCGTGTGCATGCGAGACTTTGTGTATTACAACTGTGCACATAGGAGCATGCCTGTTGGCGTGTGTGTGTGCGCTGAGCCTTAGTCACATTTATACCTCTGGCAGGTAAAACCTGCTTCCACTCCATGCTCAGCCACACTGCCGCATCGGCAAGAGGAGTACACACACTGCTCAGATTCTCCAGGGCCTGCACTTGGAAATGAGCCAGGAGCAGCACTCTGGGTTCCTAAGAGCAGCGCAGGTGGGAGAGAGGAGAGAGGCGGGGCATGGGGCCCTCCAGGGATTCTGTGTAACGTCTGCTGGCTGAGCTGAGCGCCACCTTGCTTAATGTGGGGAGATACCCCAAACAGGTGGAGGGGGCACCAGCCTGCAGAGGGGGCTGAAGGCACGCGGCAGGGTCTGAGCCGCTCTGAGGAAGCCACTTCTTGCCAAAACGGCAGTTTTTTAGATGGCTTACTTTCCCGGGTTCTCAGGTTGTAGAAATCATACAAATGAGTTATAAAATGTCAAGTAGAGGGGCAGATACTACCTGGAAGGTGAAATCCCCTGGCCACGCCCATCCCCACCGCAGAGGTGACTACAGCAAATGCACGATTCTGATCGCAGGCCTTGCCCCTGCTCCACACGCCCACCCTTTGCTCCCTGCCTCCCTCCCTCCCTCTCTCTCACCCATGGAAATCAGGTTGAGTGTGTGTAGGCGCTGCCACCTGCTTTTCTCAACCAGGACAGGGCGTGGGAATGTGGCGGTCCTACCCTTGGGCTACATTTTTTTTTAAAGGCTTATGTATTTGAGAGTCAGAGTTACAAAGGGAGAAGGAGAGGCAGAGAGAGAGAGGGGGGTCTTCCATCCACTGGTTCACTCCCCAATTGGCTGCAACAGCCAGAGCTACACTGATCAGAAGCCAGGAGCTTCTTCCGGTTCTCCCACATGGGTACAGGGACCCATAGCACTCGGGCCATCTTCTACTGCTTTCCCAGGCCATAGCAGAGAGCCGGATCCAAAGTGGAACAGCCGGGACTCGAACCAGCGCCCATATGGGATGCCGGCACTGCAGGCGGCGGCTTTACCCGCTACCCCACAGCGCCGGCCCCAGGCTACATTACTTTTAACACTGCACGAGATCCCACAGCACGCAATTCCCTATTGTTAAATGTTTGAGGTTTTTTTTATTTTTAACAAATATTTGTTCGTTTGCCCAGATACTCAAATAGAATAAATTCTTGAGAGTGTTGAGTCACGAGGTGTGCCCATGCCTGCTGGACAGGTGTTTGCTGCCAGAGTGGCAGCGCAGGTCACCTTCCCACCAAGCCCATGCCGGTGCCTCGTGCCAGCACTGCCATATGCTTCCCTCTCTCCTGGTGGGTTCTAGGACACCGCTCGCTTTAATCTGCGAGTCTTATTGTGGGGGACGAGGAGCGCCTCACCTTTCCAGAAATTGTCTTTGTTTCCGCTTGGAAGCCGAGCCTCCGCCTTGCCCCAGGAATGGTACTGCCTACCCTCTCTGGTATGCATAAGGAGCTGGACTTTACAAATGAACTCTTTTATTCTGGGGAAATGGGGGGCCGGGGCCGGGAGCCGCTGCCCAGCGGAGGCCTGGTGTTATCTGCATTGTTGTCGTCATCGGCACTGTGTTGCCAACCGCCGGGTGCCCGAGCGCCCACCGCGTGGGGACGTGAACAGTACAAAGGATGTAGGGCTTCTTTTATGCAGGGCAGTGTTGATTGGAAGATGCAGAGGGAAGGGACGCTCGCTTCCTTTATGCTCCCTGAAGGTTTAATAAGGAAAGTGGAGCAGGTGGCTCTGGGCGGCAGCTGGTGTCCTCGCTTAGGACTCTCAGCCCCCGCTCCGCCTCCCCGGGACGCACACTCTAGTGTCAACTCCCGCCCCACAGGGCTTTATGGGGATTGCCTGTGAAGCTGCTTCTGTCCAACAGCAGGAATTGAGGAAACAAGAAGGGGAAACCAGCTGCTAGGGCTGGTGTAGTGGGTAAAGCTGCCACCTGCAGTGCCGGCATCCCATATGGGCGCTGGTTCAAGTCCCGGCTATTCCACTTCCGATCCAGCTCTCTGCTGTGGCCTGGGAAAGCAGTAGATGGCCCAAGTCCTTGGGCCCTGTACCATGTGGGAGACCAGGAAGAAGCTCCTGGCTTTGGATTGGCACAGCTCTGGGTGTTGTGGCCAATTGGGGAATGACCAGTGGATGGAAGACCCCTCTCTCTTTCTGTAGCTCTTTCAGATGAATAAATATTTTTTAAAAAAATAATATAACTACAAAATAATGAGACCAAGAGGGTCCAAACTCTTTTTTCGGATCTTAGGTTTTGCCTGTTCTCAGTGAGGTGCTTCATGAGACTAAAGCCTAAGAAAGCTACACTTCAAGGTAATGCACCTTAAAGACCCAACCCACGGTGGTTTAAATATTCAATCATGGAAAATCTGACTTCCAAGCCATGAAATAAGTACTTGCTTCTCCCACTTTTGCAAGCATGCCATATATGTAAGCCCCCCCACACACGCACACACACACAGTGGTTCAACGGTGTGCACCTCCCTGCAAAGCATGGCTGGATCATGTGCAGACACAGTCTAATCTAAGCCTAGCTTTTACAGGACCAGAATGTGTTTGGGTTTTTTTGTTGTTGGTTTTTTGGTTTTTTATTTGGCAGGTAGAGTTTTAGACAGAGAGAGAGAAGCAGAAAGGTCTTCCTTCGGTTGGTTCACTCCCCCAAATGGCCGTGACAGCCGGAGCTGCGCTGATCCGAAGCCAGGAGCCAGGAGCTTCTTCCTGGTTTCCCACATGGGTGCAGGGGTCCAAGGACTTGGGCTATCTTCTACTGCCCTCCCGGGCCACAGCAGAGAGAAGAGGAGCAGCCAGGAATAGAACACGGTGCCCATATGGGATGCCGGTGCCGCAGGTAGAGGATTAACCAAGTGAACCACGGCGCTGGCCCCCCAGAACGTGTTTAACGTGCACATGAACACCAGGTAAGAACTGCGTGCAGCGGGGCATCCAAGCGTGCCCCCCGGAAGGGCCCTGGCGTCTCCTCTGTCTCTGTCTGGTCCCTCCCTCCAAAGTGTTCTGCCTGTCAGTCCACCCTGGGCTTTGAGAAGGAGAGTCTGAGGGCTGGGCTACACAGCGTGTTCTTTCCTGGTGGCACAGCCCAGGGGAAGGCAAAGTTGAGCCCCGTGCAGGCGAGCAGAGAACAAAGAAGGAAAGGAATGGTGTGCACTACCACATGCATGGGTGCCTCTGCACTGTCCAGGAAGCACCAGCCAAGGGATCCAAATTACTGAAAATTCTTCTTGATAGGGGCATAGCAGGTAAAGCCACCGCCTGAGGTGCCAGCATCCCATATGGGTCCCGGTTTGAGACCCGTTTGCTCCACTTCCAATCCGGCTCTCTGCTATGGCCTGGGAAAGCAGAAGCTGGCCCAAATCCTTGGGCCCCTGAACCTGCGTGGGAGACCTGGAAGAAGCTCCTGGCTTTAGATCAGCGCAGCTCTGGCCATTGTGTCCAACTGAGGAGTGAACCAGTGGATGGAAGACCTCTCTCTAACTCTGCCTTCAGAATAAATAAATCTTAAAAAAAAAAAAATACCGTTTGAGACACTTGCATCCCAAATGGGAGTCCCTGTTCTGATGTCGGCTCTTGACTCCAGCTTCCTGCTAACGTGCACTGTGGGAGGCAGCAGGTTATGGCTACCATGCTTGGATCCCCACTACCCACATAGGAGATCCAGACTGAGTTTTTGGCTCCTGACTTTAGCTTGGTCCAGCCCTAGCTGCTGCAGGTGTTTGGCAAGATTCATTCTCTGACTCTCCCCTTCTTCCCTTTCCAATAAAAAAAAATCCCTCGTGGACTTTGCACTTTTGCTCATCCACTACTCTAGGAATGGAGTCAGTGGTCGTGGATCACCAAGCACATATTGTGATCACCCACGTCTGTCTACAGTGTCTCATCACTGTCCGTCTGTCCATCTAACCACGAGATAGCACATGAGCATTGAAAAACAGCACTGAGAGCCTGTGGCCTGTGGCCATTCTCAGCGAGGGAAAAAGAGGCTTGGAAGGAAACACGAAACTTGAATTAGGTGCGAGAGGATGAGTGGAGCTGATGAACAGACAGACTTCAACACAGGGCAGTGTGGAGGCGGGTGCAGGTATCTGGGGCTATGCTCCGTCCCTGAAGGGGAGTGACAGGAGGCATGCGTGGACTGACAGGTCAGGTTGGCAGGAGGGACCATGCTGTGTAGGAGGCAAAAGCTGGCTTCTTAAGGGAGGCGGGGGCTGTGCAAGGCTTCAGGGGAAGAAGGGACAGAGTTGAGGCAGATTGGCTCAGCAGCTCCTTGACTGATGGAGAGAGGGGGAGACAGGGGCGGGCATCCGTCCACTGGCCATGGTCTGCAGGCCACAGAGCAGGGGTAGTTTACGAAAGAGACAATGTCGGGGTCTGCACTGTGGTGTAGCAGGTAAAGCTGCCACCTGCATCCCACATGGGCACCAGTTCAAGTCCTGGCTGCTCCACTTCCGATCCAGCTCTCTGCTGTGGCCTGGGAAAGCAGCAGAAGATGGCCCAAGTCCTTGGGCCCCTGCACCCACATGGGAGACCCAGAAGAAGCTCTGGGCTTTGGATCAGCCCAGTTCCAGCTGTTGCAG